GATAGAGAGAGAGAGAGAGAGAGAGAGAGAGACAGACAGACAGACAGACAGACAGACAGACAGACAGACAGACCGAGAAGAAAAGCAAAGAAGAAAACGAAGAAGAAGGGCATGTTTAACTGTTTTGTTCATTGCCCGCCCCTCACCTTCGCCTCGTTCAGATGTATGAGATTCTTGCCGAAGGCTGCTGCAAGCGACAGGAAGGCGATTGGGGCCCAACACAGGAAATCTGGGGACGACGTTAAACAACCTTGACTCTCAGCATATTATCGATTATTACGTACTGTAACAAAAATACAAAAAGAGATGTTCTTGTTTTGTCAACACTAGCGAGTAGTCAGTTACTTCAGAGCTGGACATTTTTATCTGCATACGTGAAACCAAGAATCGAACGCTTCTTTTTTTTTAAAACGGAAAATAATGACAAGCAAACGTCGCCGGTGATGGTCATAATGTGGACCAAAGTCAAGTTCACCGGTTTTTGTTGTCTCAGAACCTGCAATTAAAAATTTTTTTAACGTCTCCTCAGAGGCAACCCTCCAGAGAAATCCAAAAAACCCTGAGATTTTTATTTTTATTTTTGGACATACTTAAACGTTTCTTTTTGGGTCCACACAGAGTCAACCAGCTAGAAAAAAATAACATTTAAACACCCCCCCCTAAAAAAAGGAATTGGCCTACCCCCCACCCCAAGCCCTAGCTAAAAAAACCCCACAAACAAACAAAAACCCCAACAACTAAAACAAACAAACAAATTATAAAAAAACCCAGATAAGTCTTTACTTTTAACTTACTAACTCAATTTTGTTGCACTCGTGAATGGGGGCATTTTGCTTCGTTGGCGAATAGGCAACGCTACAGGTACAAACTGAAGAAAAAAACCGTTTGTGTCCCAACTGTTAGGAAATAAATGCAAACAGTTCGTGTACCTCAGACATTGTTGTCTTAAGACTTTAGAAAGGTTTATTCAGCACTATAAATAGGGGTGTGAGAAAACCCGTGTCTGCACAGAGCAGAATTTTCATAAGATAGTACTTGTTCAGGTGCCAATTTTTAGGCAGAACACGCCCAGAGTCTACGTTCTTTTAATTGGGGCTCTAAATGAATATCATACATTATTTATATCATTATTATTATCATTAAGGTTGTTGTTGTTATAATTACTATTCCAGCTAATCCTCGGACCTGTGGAAGGAGTATGGAGACCAACAATAACCAAGAAAATCAAAGCCATGTCCAGTCGAACCTGATCAAACGACCACCTGTCCAAGACAAGCATCTGTGCAAACTACAACTTCCCATTCGCCCCTGCAGATTTTTCTATATGTTGCTACCTCAGAATTATAAAGTTCTATCTGCTCAGTACCCAGTTTTGAGAAATTTGACTTTAAAATTCCCAACAGTTCAAGCTTTTTAAAATGCAGTTCTTTGAGTATGTTGATAACGACTCCGAATCATCTTACGATTTCGATAGAGCAGATAGAACGTTTGATTTCTGACCCCATGGTCTTAGTAACTCAAAACGGCCCAAACTGTCAGATAGAACGTTGTAATTCTAAGGTAGTGATTACTTTAACGAAACTGTCAAAGACTTCTATCAGTGTAGGACAATCTTTTCTCCACGACAATGGGTTGTCGTGTCGGACAATTTCGACTGTATTCCATACCTCAGAATTATAAAGTTCTATCTCACATTTTTGACCATTTTGAGTTGCTAAGACCACGAGGACAGAAACCAATACATGTTCTGTCTGCTCTATCAAAATTGTAAGATTATTCGGAGTCGTTATCAATTTGTTCCAAGAATTGCACTCTAAAAAGCTTGACATGTTGAGAAGCTCAAATATCTTTTGACGTGAAAGTTCTTAAATTCAGGTAAGGAGCAGACAGAACTTTGTAATTCCAAGGTCACCATCATCATTGCCTTTCTCACCCTGCACCAGGGTATAGGCCATGAACAAACACTTTCCTCCTTTCTCTATCCTGGGCTAGCCTCTTGATGTTATCCCATGTCTTCAATCTTAGGGTGACGATTTTTCTTACCTGTGAACACGAGCAAAGCCATCCTTTTGGCTACACGTGTGTCGTTGGAGTTCCAGGCCTGAGAGTCCCGGATGCTGATGTACATGACCAGGTAACAGGTGAGGATGATGAAGAACGAGATACCGTTGAACACCATGATGAAGCACACGTAGCCTGGGGATGGAAGGGAAAAACTAGGTAAATCATGCAACTGGAGGAGAAAAAAATCGGTATGTTCAACTGTTACAGCTGAGGAAAACATTTTAACTTGCTATGTATGGTGACTGTCGGAGAAGACAAAATTCTCGGTATGAACAACTGCTGGTGGAAAAAATAACAACAATCCACCACCACCCCCTCCCTAAAAGCTCCGTAATGCAAATTTTGGAGAAAAAGTATAAAGAAAATAAACAAAACAACTACTCCGCATCACCCAAATAGAAAAAAAACAACAAAACGAAACAAAAAGAAACCACACATGCATACACACACAAACAAAAACAAATACTAACACCACCACCACCAACAAAAACCAATCCAAAAACAAAACGGAAAAACCCAACCTGAAAATCAATAGTCCAACAAACAGGCAAAAATTATTTCCCCTCCCCACCCCCACCCCCACCCCAATACAGAAAAAGAACAAATCCACGAGTTCTGAACTGGTTCATCCTGAGTCACATTCTGTCCCCGTGGTAACTTACTGAAAGATCTCCTTTGTGATTCCTCCCCT